CCCCCCCCTGCTGCGAAATCCCTTCGTTTTTCACACCAAAATCGCCCCTCCTGTTATGGACCCCCGTACGTACCCTTCTACTAGTAGGTGATCGAGCTCTCGAGCTACCTCGAGAAGCGCATCGCCAGCACGGCGACGGACGCCAACAAGGCGGTGTCCGAGTACAACGAGATCGGAAAGGTCGTGACCGTCGGTGACGGTATCGCGCGCGTCTACGGGCTCAACAACGTGCAGGCCGGGGAGGTGAGTGTGTGTGTGCGTGTGTGCGTGTTGCGTGTGCCGTTGCAGTGTGAGAGTTGCGGTTTGGTGCTGCTGTGGATGGCGTCGTGTCTCTACGTTATCGCTCCTGTTGCGTGATACAAGAGCTTGAAACCAAGCGCCGCAGGAGGAAAGGTGGAGAGCTGTGTTGACAGTTACTCCTGTGTGATGACTCCCGGTATTTCTCAGGTTCCACACGTCTCTCCTTTCTTACATTATGCAAACTGTGCCCCTCTGTCTACAACTTTTGTGGATTTTGTGTTTGTACTCTCCATCGTGAAAATTAAATCTGAAGATGGTTCATGTTTTTGTGGATTTATTTGGTACCATGTGTTTGCCTTTTTGTCACGGTATACACATGTCGTCGTCCGCCCTTTTTGTGGATTGTTTCCTATACTCTCAAGTAGATGGTCATCTTCGACTGCGGGCTTCGGGGCATGGCCCTCAACCTGGAGGAGAGCAACGTGGGTGTCGTTATCTTCGGCGACGACAGGGAGATCCTAGAGGGCGGCACCGTCAAGCGCACCGGGGCCATCGTGGACGTGCCCGTGGGGCCCGAGTGCCTCGGCAGAGTACTCGACGGCCTCGGCGTGCCTATCGACGGCGCGGGGCCCCTCACCACCAAGGTGAAGTTTTAGTAGCTTTTTTTGTTTCAATTTTTGCATATTTGAAACATTACTGATTGGTCTTTTTTTGTGGAACACACTGGCTTAGTGATGTAACGAGGTAGGATTCTCCTGCTCTCTCGTAGTTTTGCGATTTGTTTTTGGGCAGTCATCGTGCTGACGGTCTTTCTTTGGAAAGGCACCACAGAGAGAGGTAAAAGTTTGTCTCTTGCACGGGCGACCGTGGCGGGCCCCGCCAAGCTGGTCACACGAGACCAGAAGCACGCCTTGGTTTTTGCTCGCGCTGATCCAGCAAGTGGGTAACTCAGCTGACTCTCCGTGCACACCGCGGACGCTGTGTAGCACCGCCAAACGGCACACCACAGTATGTACAGAAGCGCAACCTCTCACGTGTCGTCGTCGTCGTTTCCTGCTTTGCGGTTGGCAGACGCGCTCGCGTGCGGAAGTGAAGGCCCCCGGCATCATCCCCCGCAAGTCCGTTCACGAGCCCGTCCAGGTATGTGGTGGCAGTATGTGCGAGGCTGTCGGCGATATTCTCGTGACGGTTTCAAACATCATGCGATGAACCTCTCGCTCTATTGCTTTGCTGTTGACGGTTTACGGAGATGGAATTTATGTTCTTTTGACAACAAACATGACGAATTTCCCTCCCCTCTCTCCCGCGGAGCCCCCCAAACGCTTCCGAACTTCCTTGTCATGGAAAAGCAAGAGATATTTCATTTCGATGACCGACGAAACGGGGACCCCAACGGCCAACCCGAGACGACTGCACACCCCCACGTGTTTTGGCTCTTTTCGCTGTGTACTTGTAGTGACAAAACGCGGTCCGTCGAAAGTCAACGCCTCCCACCGCCATCATTTTCAACCCTGCGTCGTGACCGAACGATATCCGGCAAGAGCTAACCTCTGCCCGCACCTTTCGTTAACGCTGCTGCTTCTGCACAGACTGGCCTGAAGGCCGTGGACGCCCTGATCCCGATCGGGCGCGGGCAGCGTGAGCTGGTGATCGGTGACCGACAGACGGGTAAGACGGCCATCTGCATCGACACGATCATCAACCAGAAGACCAAGGGCGACGACTTGCTCTACTGCGTGTGAGTGAGCGTCATGTCATCTGTAGATATAGATGGCAACGTTGCTGCCGCTGATGTTACGATGCATATGATAGCTGCCTTGTGGTGAGCGAGAGTGTTGCACCAAGGCATTTTGATGCTCGCCGGGAGGGAAGAGGCCGGTTACGCAACAGCGGTTAATGAAGGGAGGGAGCTCGTTCGATTTTTCCGCTCGCCTGATCAGCAGTTCTACGACTGGCTTGAGGTTGGTGGTCTGTCCGCTGTTGCGACCGCCAGCGTGTGCCTTATCCTTGCATTGTCTACACCTTGCTTAGTCTCTGTCGCACTTCTATCTGTGTCTGCCTGTCTCTCACCCCCCCTCCCCCTCCCACCTCCTCTCTTGTCTCTTTCACCTGTTTGTCTTTGCAGGTACGTGGGTGTCGGACAGAAGCGGTCGACCATCGCCCAGCTCGTGGGTTTGCTCTCTGAGCAGGATGCCATGGGGCACTGCGTGGTGGTGGCCGCTACCGCCTCCGACTCCGCCCCCCTTCAGGTAACTGGACCCGTTGAGAGACAAGACCCCACCCGAAATCTGTACCTGTACGCTCGGGTCTGTCTTTTGGAGATTACGTTTGCAGAAGTGTGACTAATCACATACTTCAGACCAAATCTCGTTGACCAAAAGTCTTGGCCTGACTCCCCGATGTACATGTTAACATTTTTTTTTTTCTTTCAGTTCCTCGCGCCTTACTCCGGAGCCGCGATCGGAGAGTACTTCCGCGACAACGGGAAGCACGCCGTCATCTTCTACGATGACCTTTCCAAGCAGGCCGTCGCCTACCGTCAGGTAGGAACACACATACGTCAAGGACAAGCATTTTCTATTTCGATCGCATCAGGTAGAATCTGCTGCTGCTATGGCTGCTGCTGCTGCTTTTTTCGCACCTGGAACGTGTGCGCCGTAGACACCTATACTTCACGACAAGATATGTCACACATGCATGTTGGCCAGGCTTGGGGTGGCAAAATCACGAGTATCCCGCGACCCCCCTCGCCCTCCCCATGACCAACCGCGTACCCCTCGCAAGTGCACGCACGATAGTTGTTGCCCCGTCCCCCCACTTCGAACCTTGCCGAACCGCGCAGCCTCTCCCACGCGCTTCCCAAGCATGATAACACTATTTTTCACCCCCTAACCAGCGCGCCTCCCTTGATAATCGAGCATACGATAACACCCGCCCATTTTCCGTTCCCAATCGCCCTTCCCCCGGACGATCGAATCGTGTGTTCCCCTCGCCCCCCCCGGTGTTTGCCATCGGGGTTGGGTTTTCGTCGCTTGGCA